GGATATGTCTGGGCAGCAGAAGGCCCGAATGTATCCATGTCCACCGCCTGTCCAGGTCTCCGAAAGTCGATCCTCCAGGCGGTGGATACGTATAAATCCCCGCCTCGGAAGAGGAGACCCTGGGTGGTGCGCGGCTTTGGGGCGCCGCGGGGGGACCCAGCACGGGCGCGCAGGCCGCTGCGGTCGCAATCGCGCTCGGCGATCGGGGGGCCCCATTGGGCCCACACCAAAGGTCACTGCGGCGAAGGGTCACTCCTACGGTCCCTCCCTCCCCTCCCCTCCCTCATTCCTCCTCATCCTCCACCTTCCTCCTCCTCCTCCTCCAACCTCCTCCTCCTCCTCCTCCTCCATCCTCCTCCCTCTCCTCCTCGTCCTACCTCTCCTCCCATCCTCCCTACTTCATCCTCCTCCTCCTCCTCCTCCTCCTCCTCCTCCTCGAGCAAGAGCCGGGGCCCTCTTGATCTGCTCCTCGCCGGCGCATGCTGGCATGGGCTACGGACCGGGGGATCTGGGAAAGCACTCCCGAGACACGGCGCCTGGCGCCGGTGCCGCCCGATCTGACGACGGAGCGCGCCGAGTTCGCACGGCAACGGGACCCGCCGCCATCAGATTGCCGACGGCAACCTGATGCTGTGGGCTGAGTGCGTGATATGCGTCAGCTGGGGGGGGTGGGAGGCCCGCCGGGCCGGCGGCGAGGTTCGGCGGGGCAACTATGGCGGGCCCCATGATCCGAACTGCACCTCTCAGCTCGTCAACGGACATGGGTGGGCCAGCCTGGGGGCTCCACGCACCTGGTCAGTGCACTGGCCCTGCAGACGTGCTGCAGCGGATTTCTGCGTGGACTTCTGCGTGGATTTTTGACCGAAGCGGCGCATGAGAAACGAAGTGAATTTCGCGTGAATTTTTCCCAACCATCCTGTGGTGCTGGGTCCTCGTTTTGAAGAGAGAGCGCCCCGCGTTCCTCCTCTCCTCCTCTCCTCTCCTCTCCTCTCCTCGCCTCTCGTCCTCTTCCCCCTCCTCCTCCCCCTCCTCCCTCCCCCCATCCGCCTCGTCACCTCCCTGCGTTTCACCCACCCAGGACAGCGCTTCGTGGCCCCATAGGGAGCTCCACCGAAGGCTCCAGTGGCACAGGCCGCATGCGTCACCGCCACCCAGGACAGCGCTTCGTGGCCCTATAGGGAGCTCCACCGAAGGCTTCGGTGGCACAGGCCGCACGCGTCACCGCCACCCAGGACAGCGCTTCGTGGCCCCATAGGGAGCTCCACCGAAGGCTCCAGTGGCACAGGCCGCATGCGTCACCGCCACCCAAGACAGCGCTTCGTGGCCCCATAGGGAGCTCCACCGAAGGCTCCAGTGGCACAGGCCGCATGCGTCACCGCCACCCAAGACAGCGCTTCGTGGCCCCATAGGGAGCTCCACCGAAGGCTCCAGTGGCACAGCCCGCATGCGTCACCGCCACCCAGAACAGCGCTTCGTGGCCCCATAGCGAGCTCCACCGAAGGCTCCACTGGCAACGGCCGCATGCGTCACCGCCACCAAGTACAGCGGTTCGTGGCCCCAAAGGGAACTCCACCGAAGGCTCCAGTGGCACAGGCCGCACGCGTCACCGCCACCCAGGACAGCGCGTCGTGCCCCCATAGCGAGCTCCACCGAAGGCTCCACTGGCACAGGCCGCATGCGTGAACGGCCACCCAGTACAGCGCTTCGTGGCCCCATAGCGAGCTCCACCGAAGGCTCCAGTGGCACAGGCCGCACGCGTCCCGGAACACCCAATTTGGCATTTTGACCCACCCAGTACAGCGCTTCGTGGCCCCATAGGTCGTGGCCCCATAGCGAACCCCACCGAAGCCCCCAGTGGGACCGCCCGCATGCGTCCCACACACCCAATTTAGCATTTTCACCCACCCAGTACAGCTCTTCGTGGCCCCATAGGGAGCTCCACCGAAGCCCCCAGCGCCACCGTCCGCATGCGTCCCACACACAGACACACACACACACACACACACACACTCAATTTGGCATTTTTACCCATCCAGTAAGTACAGCGCTTCGTGGCCCCATCGGGAGCTCCACCGACCGCCCGCATGCGTCCCACACACCCAATTTGGCATTTAAGCCCACCCAGCACAGCGACTCGTGGTTCCATAGGGAGCTCCACCGAAGGCTCCAGTGGGACCGCCCGCATGCGTCGTCCCACACACCCAATTTGGCATTTTCACCCACCCAGTACAGCGCTCCGTGGCCCCGTCGGGAGCTCCACCGACGGCCCCAGTGCTACCGCCCGCATGCGTCCCCCCCTACCCAATGCAGCGCTTCCTGGCCCCGTAGGGAGCTTCACCGAAGCCTCTACTGGGACCGCCCGCATGCCTCCCACACACCCGATTTGGCATTTTCAACCACCCAGTACAGCGCTTCGTGGCCCCATACGGAGCTCCACCGACGGCCCAACTGCTACCGCCCGCATGCGTTCCTCCCCACCCAGTGCAGCGCTTCGTGGCCCTATAGGGAGCTTCACCGAAGAAAAGATTCACAATTGCGGTACCCACAACTGCATATGGTTGGGTCCTTCGCCAGGATAATTCTTAGTCATCGTCCCTGGCCAAATAAAACCCGCGCGAAATTTACCTCGAAATCCGGAATGAAATTATCCAGGACTCTGCGATGTGGGCGCCATGAGAAATGGGTCGGCCGGCCTGGGGGCACCACGCACCTTGCGGCTTATGCTGCTCCCATCGTACTTAAGGACCACATCCCAGAAGTAGTTTCGAGCACCCAGAAAAGTGTCGAAACTGTGTCGAAACAGTATCGGACGAGTGTCTCGCCGGGCCCGATACGTGAAAACCCTGGAGTTCCCATACTTTCTTGGTGCTCGAAATTCTTTCTGGTCGTTAAGGCTAAGGCCCAGACATCCGACGTTTCGATTTTTTCGAGACGCGGGCCCGGACCTCCCGACCACTGCCCCGGGACCGGTTTTTCATGCCGAGTCATTTTTTGGCGGTCCCGAGACCCGGTGACGTCCCCGAGGGGCCAAAAACTATGAAGACCCACCGCCTCGATTTTTCGAGACGCCCGATGTCAGGGAGCAGGTCGGAGCATCCGAACTCGAGGCCTCTTTCTGCGACTCTCTGGGCCTCTGCGCCCGCGGCGCGCCCGTCACAGCTCGCCCCGGGCCCGCCCGGGGGCGTGCGGGGCGCACGCGCCCAGGAAGTGCGCCTCTGCGAACTCGTAGAGCGCGCGGTCCGCCCGGTTCCGCCCCTTCTGCGGGGGGCGGACGAGAGAGCTGCGCACCCAGACGTCGGGCGTCTCGCAAAAATCGAGACGGTGGCTCTTCACATATTCTTGGGCCCCTCGGGGCCCTCGCCGGGCCTCGGGACCGCCAGCTAGAAAACGCCTCGGCACGAAGAGCCGGTCCCGGGGAAGGGGTCGGGAGGTCCGGGGCCCGCGTCCCGAAGAACTCGAGACGTCGACCGTCTGGGCAGGTTGGGAATCGAGGGCCACTCCAGATTTCGTAATCAAAGGGAGGGGGTCACAGCCCTCCCAGACGAGAAGTTTTAGACCCCCCAGACTGTCCATGAAAGGGCGGGCCTTTGCCCAGCCCCCCCCCCCGAACCCTCCAAGACAGCTCAAATTAGACCCCCCCCCCGAATGTGACCCCCCCCACTTTGCTATGGAATCCGGAGCAACCTCGGTCGCCTAGCTTGGCGCACTGCGCCCCTCGGTGCGCGGCGCGCGGCCACCTCCGCGCTCTCGCGCCCTCGCGCCGCCCCCGTGGAGAGGGGCGGCCGCTCTGGCCCAGACGGCGACGAGCGAGGCGCGATGATCTTCGCGACCCCGCGGGTGGCCTAAAATTGAGGTGGCCCGCCTCGTTCATCATCCCTCCCCCCTCCTGAGCTGGTTTCCCTTCCCTCCTGGAGAGCCAGGAATGCCAGAGCCAAGGATCCAGAAGTTCTCATCTCCATCGAAAGCAGACTGGTGAGAGTCACCCCCCCAGGCTCTTCGAGGCATGACCAAAACCTCAGTGGGCATCTGGACAAACATCCTCCCAGTGGTTTCGTTCCACCATGGCCAGTGGCATCACCCCCAGGGATTAGCTCCACCACGGCCACTGGCACTAGGTTTCGGGCATCTCGTTTACGTTAAGAATGTGGCCCGCTGTCGGACAACTAAATATTGGCTCCTTGCAGCACAGATCACCGCAAGCTGGCCCGCAGTCTCCAGCGCTTCGCCCACGACCACCTCATCTCTGGAGATGGGCTCAGGCACTCTTGAAGCCTGTAGGAGCGAGGCAGATCTGCACAGTCGTCCTCCCCCGACAAACAGGACATTTGGAGGGTCGTTATGTTTGTGCCGTCTTACGGTCAGGAACTTTTGGATGGCGCGTCGCAGCGGCAGCCCCGGCGACACGCTGTGCCATGCAAGCGGGTGGCGTGTCGCTCCGCTCCGTGGGGCGGGACGGCTCGGAAAAGCTCGGGACGCTGGGGCCTGGGCACTGCAAAGTGAACAGCGTGTCGCGCCAGTGCGTCGTGGGCCAGAACCAGCGGCGCGACATGCTATCCAAAAATTCCCGACCGTATGTTTCGGCGGCGCGCCCGGGAGAAGGCCTTCTCAGAAGGCTCGGAAGCCCCTTGGCCTTCTGAAAAATTGTATAAGCCTTCCCCATAACCTAGAAGACCTCTCAGAAGGCGCGAGGGCTTCTGAGAAGTCCCGCCGCCTTCTGAGAAGGCCTCCCCCTTCTCACTTGCCCCCCTCGCTCGCCGCCGAGCTATCCAAAAGTTCCCGACCGCACGTTTGTGCCGTGTTCTCTTCTTCGACCTCTATCGCCGCGAGCACCTCCTCGGGGACGTCCCGCCGCCTGGGCTTCGCACTCGCGGCGTGCACCCTCGTCCGCAGCAGCCCCGCCTCGATCCCCAGCAGCCTCGCCAGGGCGGCCTGGGACTCCTCGAGCCGCTCCAGGATTGCGACGAACGCGAAATTCGAGGCCAGCTCTTCCTTGCGAGAGGCAAGGACGGTAGAGAGCAGAGCACCCACCCTCAGAAGAAGCACCCCCACGAGCGACGCAATTTAGTAACCGCACCCAGTGAAGGAATCGAACAAGACAGGGCTGCTTAGTGAACGCCCAGGGCCGTTTAGCAAACGCCACTTGTCGGGGTCGGGCTGCTTTTTCCTCCCCTGAGATAAGGGGGACCAGCTCTGGGGGGAAAGGTCGACCTGGAGTCGGCGATACACCACCGACAGATCGGCGGCACGCCCCCGAGAGCGCAGCCGCACGCTCCTGGGCGGGTGAGGGGCCATCGTGCCCATATCGGCGATGAATGGGCGATGTGGGGTCGACGACATCCCCCCCTGAGCCCATCCCCCCTATCTAGGGGAGCAAAAAGTGGCATAAACATAAAAATTCGGAGGTCCGCGCGGATTTCTCGGATCGGCGCCGGGGCCCCCCGGCGGCACCTCCGGCGCAGCCCCTGGCGCGCTCCGCGCGCCAGGGAGGGGGGTCCAGCGCCGATCCGAGAAATCCGCGCGAACCTCCGAGTTTTTATGTTTATGTCACTTTTTGTTCCCCTACCATCCCCCCTATCGTTGTCCCTGACCTTGGCGCGCTCCACAAGGCTGGAGTCCTCATTCAAAGCTTCTTCCAGAGTCTCCCTCTCGTGGCCGGTCGCACCAAGCCAGAGCTCGTAGTACCACGGCACGTCCCTGTTCAAACA